ACAGGCCATCGTGCCCAGTCCCTGCTTGCTCAGGACCATTCCCCTTGCCAAGGCAGAGGCAGCTCCATCACCCAGCTGCCTCCTACAGCCACAGCCCCCACGCAGGCAGCCCCCAGCCCCATGCCACTTCTCACCACAGGCTTTGTTGATGAAGGTGGTGGCAATGCCAGTGTTGCCTGAACGGCCCGTGCGCCCAATACGATGAACTGCGGAGAGACAGGATCAAGCCCAGGTGAACACAGTGTGACAGAGCATCCCTGTCCCCAGCCACTGCAGGGACAAGCCCAGAGCCTCGCTGGCCTCTGCACTCACACCCACCGTGCCCTCGTTGGTCCCCCACAGGGCCCAGTCCTCACCATAGTTCTCAATCTCCTCTGGCATGTCGTAGTTGATGACGTGCTGGATGGCTGGGAAGTCCAGACCCTTAGAAGCAACATCAGTGGCAACCAGGACATCCTTCTTCCCGTCCCGGAACGCCTCGATGGCTTTTGTCCGTTCCTCCTGATCTGCAAAGACCCAGCAGAGAAGATCAGCAAGGGTGGAGCTTCCAGTCCTACCTCCTGCAGCAACCACTATGGCCTCAGAGACAAGCATCACTCAACCAGGGCTCCCAGAGTGAGGGGACCTATGCAGCCTTTCCCCAAATAAAGGAGCAGAGGGACCTATAGGTCCCGTAAGGACCTGCCCTGCGTTTATGGCTGCCACATACAACACGGTGTCTGCTCCTGACACTGCCACAGCCCTTCCTCGCACCATCACAGACTGCGGCACGCCAGGATCTCCCGTGGCCTTGTACCACCCTGGCAGGAGCAGGGTCTGGCAGGGCCACACCACAGCTCACATCTCCCCCAAGACCCTCACTGACCTTTCCCTCCATGGATGGCCACAGCCTCCACACCCTTGAGCAGCAGGTACTCGTGGATCGCATCAACATCTGCCTTCTTCTCTGCAAAGATCAGCACCTGCAGCAGCACAGACGTCATGGAAGAGCTGCCTTTCTGCAGGCTGGCACTACCAGCACAATCCCCTGGGAAACCCACTCCCTCTTGCTGAGCAGAGCACATGACAGCTCTGGGCCCAGGAGCTGCTCGGAAGTGGAGCACAGCTCCCTCCACGCCCACCCCACCCACGGCAGAGCCCCAGCAGCATCACGGCCACATCCCCACTGCCAGCTCCACCCGTGCCCCAGGGCTGCAGCGCACCCACGCTGCCCCCAGCCACGCTGCCAGAGCACACTACTCACGGGTGGCGGGGTCTTCTGCAGGCACTCAAGGAGGTACACCATCTTGGCCTCCTCTTTCACGTACTCCACTTCCTAGGAACGAGCACAGGGATCAGTCAGGCAGGCAGCAGAGAAACTGCCGTTGCTTGGTATCCCTTAAGCTCTTGGGAAGGAGGGTCACGAACCCCAGCTCCCTGACAAGGGATGCATCAAGTACTCTCATGATCAGCGCTGGCCTCCCCCACAGACACAGGGGAGCACCCAACTACCTCACCTGCACAACATCCAGGCTGGCAGCACCCGCTCGCCCAACATTAATGGTGATGGGCTTCACCAGGGCGCTCTTGGCAAAGTTCTGGATCTTCTTGGGCATTGTGGCACTGAAGAGGAGGGTTTGCCGCTGGCCCTGTGCAGGGAACACAGCATGGGCAAGGTTTTAGCACTCACCCAACCGGGCAGGCACAAGGATTGAGCTCCAGCGTTCTTGTTTCGTGCCAGCTCAGTACCTTGAAGTAGGAGAAGATGGTGCGGATGTCCCCCTCAAAGCCCATATCGATCATCCTGTCAGCTTCATCCAAGGCCAAGTATCGGCAGATGTCCAGGCTCACCATCTTCTTCTGCAGCAGGTCCATCAGGCGGCCAGGGGTTGCCACCATCATGTGTACACCACTGTGGGACAAGAGAAGGCCAGGGTCAGGCACTCTGATTACTGCCCCACACAGCCACACATAGGGAAGGTACCACCCACTTGACACATCAGCTTTGTCCCCACACCTTCCTGAAGCCATCCAGACAGGGTGTCACCCCTGAGTCCCCTACCAGAAATCAAACAGCTGCAGCCCCACAAACTCCCCCAAGAAGCTCTTACTGTTTGATTGTCTCCATCTGCTCCTTGACAGACATGCCCCCGATGCAGAGGGCGCAGCGCAGCGGGGGCAGGCCGTCCTCCTGCAGCAGGCGACAGTAGTACTCGATGATGCCGTGGGTCTGCCGGGCCAGCTCCCGCTGCAGAGACAGAGCTTACTCATTCCTACGCCTCCGCACAGGGGGGATCTGGGATCAACCAAAGCTTCCTCCCACACGTCACCGTGCTCCCGACACTCACCGAGGGGCAGATGATGAGTCCGTAGGGTCCCTCTCGCTTGGAAAATGGCAACCTCTTCTCCTGCTCCAGGCAGAACATGATCACCGGGAGGGTGAACACCAAGGTCTTCCCAGAGCCAGTGAACGCAATGCCAATCATGTCCCTTCCCGAGAGGCTGGCAGAGAAACGGGGCCAACGGTAACGAGGAGCAACACAGAACATCTCAGGCCTCTGGGGCTGAGCAAGGTGACAGGGTGCATCTGTCACCAGGGGAGAGCACCCAGTTCACACCACGGGGTGGGCTGTGGGGGGCGACCGCTCCCTGCTCTGGGACAGGGACAGAGCACTCACATCGTGGGGATGCCTTGGATCTGTATGGGCGTTGGCTGCTGGATTCCTTTTTTCTTCAGGCCCCTCAAGATAGCTATCAAAGAATAAGGGACACACATGTTCACGACCTGAAGTCTTCTCCCTCTTTCCATCCTACACACACCCCAGCAGCAGCTCTCCCACCAGTGACAAGCAGCCCTTGGCCCAGCAGCGAGGTGATGCTGCCACTGAGGGGAATTCAAGCTGCAACCTCACTGAGCACTAAAGATCCAACAGCTTTGCTCACTGATGTGCAATTCCCAGGAGAATACTGTCCCCCACCCTGCCAGGCTCCTCTCCAGACCCACCTGCTGGGAACTTCATCTCCTTGAAGCTCTTGATGGGGGGCGGGATGCCTTCCCCCTCCACCAGGATGTGGTACTTCTTGCGCACGCGATCATGCCGTGCCTCCGACATGCCCAGGATGTAACGAGGTGCTCTCCAGCTGCGAAGGCAACAGAGCAAGGTTGTGATGCAGAATGAGGCTGGGGCTCCAGAGGCCCAGGGGAACTCCCTGTCTGGCTCCAATAGCCCACCAGGGAAAACAGGAAACTCCAAGGGGCTTCATGGTGTGAGCACAGGAGCGGATCCACACCAGCTCCCCGAAGACTCGGCAAGAAGCCCCAAGCTAACGGCTGAGAACAGCCTATGGATGGCGGCCAGAACATGCCAGCATCTTTCACACACACCTCAATCATCTCTAACACTGCCTTGAGCAGCGCTGGCTCTGTGGGCTCCCAAAGTCTCTTCTCAAGATCTGAGGACCCACCTCAAGTTTTCAAGTTTAACATAAATGTACTCTAGAAAATCTTAACTGCGTATTAAAACAACGATCAAGGTGACTCAGCAGCCTTCAATCTCAGGTACAGCGGTAAGAAGGCAGGCAGTGGAGAAAGAGAGGAGGCAGCAGCTGCAGAGCAGTGCTCTCCTGCGAGGCTTCTAGTTCTCTTCAGCCATGAGGAAAGGATGTTTTCAGGAAGACAACTTCTGTACTGTGAAACACACCTGGTTTTAATCGGGTCGTCGTAGGTGATGCCTTTTGCCATCTCCTTCACCGACATCAAAGCTGCAAGGACAAAGCAGATGAGATCAGTGCAAGCTCTCCATCTCCAGACAGCCCAACCTCAGCAGAGAAATACTCAGGCAAACAGTTTGGGAGACTGTGCCCAAGACAGGGGAGGAAAAGCAGCACCCGACAGCCCCTCTGGGTGCAGGAACACCAAACACTGCAGCCTCTGTGCCCAGCAGGGTACCCTCCTGCCACAGCTCAGCCAGGCTGCTGACTGAGGGATCCCCTTGTGATCTCCTGACCCATCCTGGGTGTGAACATCCCTGAGCGCTGCAAGGCAGGTAATACCCCTACTGCTGCCCTGACAGCTCTGAGAGACACGGAGCTCCCACCGCTCACCTCGGCCCTCTGCCACGCTCTCCAGGATCTTCTCTTCCTCCTTCAGCTGCTTCTCCTTGGCCGACTCCTTCCGAGCTGGGGGAAGAATCAGGAAAACAGTGAGGAGGTCCCTGCTGAGAGACACCCAGCCCCACTGCCAGACGCTCTCCTACCTTCCGCCTTCTCCTTGAGGTGCTGGTGCTGGTCCAGGAGGCTGATGTTGGACTGTGGCCCCAGTGGGATGTCATCCTCGTCCCCCCGCTGCTCGCTCCCGCTGTCCCGCTGCTCCTCCTCCGACACCACCTTCCGCCGCATCTGCAGCAGCTTCTGCAGCTGGAGGCGGAATGAGAAGCCCCGTGTCGGCTGGGCGGCTCAGAGCCCTCCCCCGG